TTTTTTTTTTTAAATTTTTTTATATATTTTTTCTGGTTTTTTTTTTTTTTTTTTTTTTTTATCGAAAATCGATAAGACAATTGTGCATGCGTTAAGTGATAAGATATCACTATGTGTCGAATTGATATTTTCAGTAGCATAGATTTATGGTAGACGTGCATTGTTATGTCAGTATCGTAGATTGTTCTGCGTGAATGAGCACTTTTATCTTTTTCTTAATCTTACACAATTTTATATTATCTCTTGGGTCCAAGTTCAACGATTTATTTAATAACTACGACTAATTACTATCCTGTCCTTCTCTTGATTTTCAGGACGAAAAGAATCAGCTGCTCATCACGAATCTCTGGTTGAAATTGGTGAGTATGCCGTCCTGCGCTGCGTGACGACACTTTGTCAATTTAGTACGTCGGTCTTGCGGGGATTCAGGCAATTTTTTTTTTTAAATTCACGAGGTCCACCTCGTGGAAAATTTATTTGACCTTTCTCTATCTCTCTCTCTTTCACACGCGCACATGACCCCGGTATAATGAAAATAGCGCTTGTGGGAATTCTCTAATTTACCTTTGTTTTCTTTTTTAATACCTTGACACCTTTTATATCTTACTTTCCAAGTCCTAGGTAGTCCATTCCCGCTGACATAATGCGCACGCGAACATGCTGGGATGCACTAGGAACTTTTAGTTACCGAATGAGGTCTCAGTTCCAGAGAGGCAACCGTGAACGCAGGTCTGACTTATACTGCGTTATTCTACTGCGGCGGACAACTGGCCGCCAGTTCCATATGTTCTGCCATAATCTCGTTGGAGTATTGTGACGTCATCTCGATTCTTGTCGAACAGGATGAAATGGGTCAGACAGAGAAGTCACACAATAATGAATGACAGAAGATATTTCTTTAGTTATATCTTCGAAAACATATTAAATTTCCTAATTTTTCGAATGTGCGTAGAGATTTGCAAATTTTACAAAATTAGTGTTTTCAAGGGCTCCTTCTTCAAAATTAAATACTGTGCAATATATGCGATTGTTCGTATCGAATTTACTTGTATTACTACTCGAGAGGATGTGGGGCGGGGGA